ACTGGATCCTGTTTGAAACTATGCTGCCTCCTTCTTTTGATGCCTAGATTTAAGGACACAATAAGGGGTTGGCAGCCCTAAATGTGAGGGGTGTTCAAGCCTGGCCCCTATTTGTTTCTGGGCAAAAGGTGAGCTTAAACTTCTAATTTAGCACTCACTTTGATGCTGCAGGGCAGCTCCTCCTGGCGCACTGGGTCCTAACCTTCCTCACATCTGATCCAGAAGCAATTGGGAGGAGCACTTGTTCAGCCGCGTCAGGGCAGCCCACTCCTGCAATGAAAAGAGTTCAGCAATCATGTGTCTTTGCACGGTACTCATTGTGGTGAAGCTTCCCATCCACTGCTGCAATCTGTGCAGGGGGAGCCCTGCCAACTGGTGAGGAGGGCAAGCCACTACATGACTGTCATGTTTGTCCCCCCCTGGTGTTAGCCAAATTGCTCTTTTTACAGCAATTGGCAATTTATAAACTGGTTCTTGCCAACTATACCAAAGTCCTGTTCCCACCAAGGGTTACCAGAGAAGGAGTCGAGGCTGGTGTTGTTAAAATAAAGGTCTTTTACTTAAGAAAATAAATCTCATACAAACAATACTGATGCACTCACACATTCCATCAAGTTCCTTAAAAATACAGTTGCATTGGCAGGTAGGGTGATGATGGGTGATACTTATCTGTCTTCGCAACTTGGTTGTTCCAATGAAGAATGGATGGGAAGAAATAGAAAACTAGGGAGTTTTAACACATGACCAGAACCAGCCAGAACGTGTGGGTCTCTTGACTGCAGATCAAGAGATCAAAGTAGAGGCAAGGGTTTGGGTATAGCAAGTGGGACTCAAGGGGAGTAAAAAGCAGACAGGGGTTGTTGTGGGGAATGCTAGCTAGGAAGGGCCAGGTGACTGGTCCTTTCCTTTTATAGGTGGCCCATTGGGTGGGAGGTAACTGTTCCAACCTGTGGACCCACCTTCCTGTTAGTCCATCCCAAAACTAATCCTATTGGTTGCCTATAGGAGTGGGAGGTTGCCTATAAGGAGTGGTCAATATTGAAATCTAAAACCTTACTCAAGGAAGACGTCTGGGCAGGTGTGAAACCTTGACGTCAGGATGCTTCATTGAAGTGTTGATCAAGCTGGCCATCCTATTGTAAACCAAATGTCCACTTGGCAGGAAATACCAATGCAGGAACAAAGCATGGATATGTTGTAGGTGATCGCAAGTAGATCTGCAATGGGGGCTGTCTCTTCTCAAGTTGTTGTTTCTTACTGCTCACAATAATGGAGGTGTGTGTGCTCCTTCACCAGGCTGGTAACTGTGTAACTGAAACCTTATTCACGTGTAAGGCTTGTGCAGGCACCTTCTATGTGTTGCATCACAACAGGTGACTTAGAGTGTACAGTTCTCCGAGCCTGTGTGTGTGTGTGCACAGTCCATAGTATGTAGCAATAAATATAAGTCCATAAAGCAAATATCAAGTTCATTCTCTAACACTGGCAGCTGCCTCAGGTGGGCTCCCCCACACCTAACTGCTTGGCCACAGGGACTATGGGTGGGTGGGGGAGCACTGCATGCTCCCCAGCTGCTGGGGTCAGGAACAGGAGACGTTATTGCCAGTGTGGCTTGGTGCCACTGTTGTTGGCCAAGGAGGGGAAGGGGGCTGGGGAAAGGTTGCCTTGCTCACCTATTCATGTGCAGCGGATCCCAGTTGAGGAGATAGGGGTACCTGTTGGGGCTGAAAGCTGGGAGAGGTCAACCACAAAGCGTGTACTTTGTTCTATCTGTGGTATGTTTCCACCAAGTGCTTGCCCAGTGATACCAAGTGCTGTCTCTGTTTTCCCTGCCACCAAGGGGTGTGTTTGTTTATTTGTTTGTTTAATTTGTATCCCGCCCTCCCCACCATGGCAGGCTCAGGACGGTTTACAGACACACTTGGTCTAAGTCTGCATGGTAGGGAGCTGTCAGACAGTGTCCCGTGCTGCACGCCCTACCTCATGTGTTGTGGAGGGACCTGTCGGAAGCATTTGTAGTGTGGGGCCCCCTGTGATTAGGTGCTGGGGAGGGAGCACAGCCAGTCGAGGGGAGAGTGCTGATTCAGTGTGCCCTTAGTTGGTATTCTCAGATGCTTGGGTTCCCACGGGCATGGCCACGGCAGTGTTTGGGGAAAATGGATTTTGACTTAACATGGCTGCCAATGGGTTATGCTGGCATTTTTTGGTGGCATAACTTTGCTCCTGTTAGGTGGGGTGTTCCTGTACTCCAAGTGCTTAGGGAGCTTCCTAAATGTCGCCACACCCCTCAGCATGCCCACATTCTCACTGGCACAGGGGTTTGCACTGGCATGCAGCTGCAGTACAGTTACCCCAGTGGTACTGGGCAGCATAGTGCTGCTAGTGCCCTGCGCCAGCCTAACCGACCTTTACGCGGCCTTAAACCACAGTTAGTATTCACCCAAAACCATGGGATCCCGGCCCACACTGGGGGGGTCTGGCACCAGTGTTCCCTCTAAGCTGAGTGAATGTGAGTCAGCTTACAGTTTTTTAGCCTCTGGCTCACACATTTTTGTCTTAGCTCGGGAAGGCTGGCTCCAGAGTAAACTAATTTATGCAGTAGCCAAATCGCTCGCTCACAACTTTAATGCCAGTAGCTCACAAAGTAGAATTTCTGCTCAAAAGACTCCACAGCTAAGAGGGAGCATTGTCTGGCACCCCTATATTATTCCCAGGATTGCATTTTCCTGTCTTATTCCCCCCCCAGTTTCAATACATGTGTTGAAAAGCAGTGAGGGAAGTGAACACCATGTTGGACTCCTTGATGTAATTCAAAGTATAATTAAAATAATCACAAAACAGTAAGATTGTAGTCTGTCTGTAGCAGTAGAAAAGAGTCCAGTGGCACCTTAAAGATAAAGAAAATTTGTGACAGGGTATGAGGCTTCCTGAATGATTCACAAAAGTGATTCACAAAAGTTCATATCCTTCCACAAATCCAGAAACAGTTTAGCCTTGGGGAATCCCATGGATAAAATTCCCATGATTGCAAAATTTTATCCTCAGTCTGAAAGCAGTCAATACGTCTTTCATAAATGTCCAACTGATTGTATCAAATGCTTTTTCAGCATTTGCAAGGTTTGTGTACTCACAAAATTGTTATCCTGCTTCCCTCCCTCACTGGAGACTTAAAGCAGCTTTCAAAATGAAGCTGACATAAAATATAAATTACAAACATATATAGCTATCCAAAAAAGCCCCCTAATGCAAGCCCCAAGCAGGTAACGGACCACAACAGTATTTCATTGTGGTTCTGGTTCTGTCAGCAAGCCACACAGATGCCCAGCCTTTAAATTACCTACAGAAAAGGAAGTGCGAATGTTCAGCCCAGGTCTTATTCAGCTGGTTCAATGTTCTTTCACTTGGTTTCTTACCCAGGGTAATAACGTTAGTTAGTTCCTAAGATTCCAAATTAATTAATATCCTTAAAGAAAAACAGTTTGATCATGACTCGCTCAGATTATTATCTACTCCTACTATGTAATTTTTGCTATTGTATAATGCGTCATGTTAATACCGACACTGTGCTACACCTCTGGTTGATTTTCCAGATCTCTACAAGTCAAATGCCCATTGCATTAGCTTTTGAATATCCCAGTTTGTTGATTGTACTGGTTTTTTTCTTTGTAATCTATCTTGAGCCCCTCCGAATACATAAATAAATACCATAGAGTTTGGAGAAATTCCTAGAACATCATGGAGGATGTGACATCACATTCCATGAAGTCCACCCTCCCCAGGCACTGCTCCCAAATCTTGTGGAATTTGACAGGGCTTTAATAACAACCAGCATGATAAATAAACCTCTATAATCCATTTAACAGTCAAACTCCTACTAACAGTAGCTTTTAAAAAAAGGCTTTCCTGAAAATCACATAGAAGTAGATATGGAGCTGGCTAGCTGAGCTTACCTAGAAGCTCCATAGGATGGGTGCCACTACTTAGAAAGTCTTCAGTATTGTAGCCATTTGGGAGTCATCTGGGAGACTCCACAACTGAGCCTCAAGGAGGATAAAAGAGTAAGAGAGAGCTTACCAGAGCAGTGTGTAAGATACCTTCTCTGGCATAATTTAAGATGACTTATTTATTTATTTATCAAATTTCTACCCCACCCTCCCAGCCAAGGGTGGCTTACATAAGAATAAACACATAAATTACATTAAAACATAAATTACAGTTAAAACCATTCTAAAACCAACGAAACCATCCAACATAATAAAGTGCTAGCTAAAGTAAGACCATCTGTTCCATTGTGCTTTTCGGGATCAATCTCCTGTTTATTTAGTCATTACAGCCTTGCTTTGGGCTATTAGTTTTCCCATGCGATTTATGAGTTGGCTTGAGTTCAAGTATCTGTTGACTTCAGAGGCTAGATCCTTGGTATGATGAACAGCCAAACCCTGAGAAACAAGCATATCTAGACTCAAACAGGACCTTAAAAATAAAGACGTAGGATCACCTACTATTGTAGCTCTCGTGAGATCACCTGTTGTGATTAACACAGTTGACCTTTGGACAAACTCATTCGCAATTGCACTAAAAAGTCAAGTGAGTGTGTAATCCTGTCCCCATTAAGCCCTGGTGGGTACATTTCTTTTTAATTTGTTAACAAATTCAGCAGTTTCACACTGGATTCTTTCTTTGAGATTCTTTTGTAAGAGAACAGGAAGAGTACAGTGGTAGATGAGAAGTCATTTCACCACAACCATCTTTGTCAATAACCTCATGAAAGCACATCTGGGTTTCTTACCTGGAAATAATCCATTGTAATTAGATATTAAATGTCTGCAATGTTTCATTCCTGCCCTGGTAATCACAACATGATATTCCAATGTCAAGTGTAATCAGCAGGTAAGAATTTTGCTCACATGGAGAGATGCTATTCTCTCCAGTCATAGAAACCATAGTTTTCATTTGAATAACACCAGCCTTAGTAGACCTTTGGTACATACTGAAGCACACCAGTTGCCTATATTAGCATAAGTAAATGACACCACTCATAGAAGAGCACCTGGTACAGGTAAGTAATTTGGAGTTTCTTTTAAACTGAGTAGAGAACTGGTAATGTTTTAAAGATGTTTAAAAACTTAAGAGAGTCAAACCAGATAACTATATTTCAGAAAAGAAGCTGTCATATAGTCTTTTGCAGAAGAAACAAAAAAGAGTGTTGCGGCACCTTAAAAGCTAATCCATTTTTAGTTATGCATCTGAAGCTGGTGCTAGTCCTTGAAAGTTTTTGTTAGAGTAATAATTAGTTAGTCTAAGACATTATAAGACTCACTGTAATGCCTTATGAAAAAATTATTATGGGATTTGTTCTCTGGGATTTGTTACCATGGAAGTACCATAGTTTGCTTTATGAAGGGGAGATCTATCACTCTCATAAAGACCCTTGTGGAGATAAGGACAGATCTGTTTCTACCTAAGGGCAAACAACGAGACAACATGCCAAATGTACTCATGATATCATGAAAGAAGTGAGGTGTCTTCCATTTTCAGGAAAGGTTGTTACAATCAGTGTTCCCTCTAAATTGAGTTAGTGTGAGCTAGCTCACAATTTTTTAGCCTCTGGCTCACATATTTTTGTCTTAGCTCAGGAAGGATTGCTCCAGAGCAGTGTTCGCTCTAAGCTGAGTTTGTGTGAGCTAGCTCACAGTGTTTTAGCCTCTGGCTCACACATTTTTGTCTTAGCTCAGGAAGGATGGCTCCAGAGCAAACTAATTTATGCAGTAGCCAACTTGCTCGCTCACAACTTTAATGCCAGTCGCTCACAAAGTAGAATTTTTGCTCACAAGACTCCACAGCTTAGAAGGAGCACTGCTCCAGAGCAAACTACAATTTATGCAGTAGCCAAATCGCTTGCTCACAACTTTAATGCCAGCAGCTCACAAAGTAGCATTTCTGCTCACAAGACTCCACAGCTTAGAGGGTGCATTGGTTACAATACCATGGTTTCACTATTTTCAGCTGTGGAACCTTATAAACTCTGAAATGGCTTTGAACCAGCTTCAGGGAAGTCTTATATATTCTGAGAGGTTAATTTATCTAAGGACAAATATGAAAAGTTTGTTATCCATGACCTATTTTAATCAAAGGAAACAGATGTTTGATCCTAACTTCAACTATTGTTATAATAAATGGCCAAAGATTGTTGGAAGGATAACTGTTAAGTAATGGTAAAACATCTTTTTCTCAAAGTTAGCATCTGCCATTTGTGCTAGTTTGAAAGGAAACTACTATCAGGCATTACCCAATGGTACTTAACTCCCCAAAGATTGAGTCAAATATATAAAATGAATAAATTATTGTGCTAGAAATGTGGCTTGCAACCCTCCCCCCCCCCCTAATTTTATGCATACTTGGTGAAGTTGTATTGTGGTAAATAGCTTTTGGACTAAAGTTTTCAGAGAAATACATCAGATATTTGGGATCTGGCTATTAGAAGATCCGAAGGTCTGTCTCTGGGGACAGAAACACATGTAATGTAAGACTGCTTCACAGTATATGTGTTGATGAATTGGATCCAATGGTTTATCTGTTCACTAGCAGTAAAGCCCGTTGTGAAAGCAATACAACGAGATCTAGAAGGAGGCTCTGGGGCAGTGCTCTGGCTTTGGGCAAACAGTGTCAATTTGCTGTGGTGACCTCAGCAGGGTATAATGACAGAGTCCACTGTTTTCTCCAGAGGAACTGATCTCTGCTACCTGAAGAGCAGTTGTAATTGTGAGTGATCTGTAGCCCTCACCTGGAGATTGGCAGTTTTGTTACCCAGGACCAAAATGGCTGGTTTGGAGGGTGGAGTCTATGGCAGTGTACCTGTCTGAGGTCCCACCCCTCCTCAAACCTCACCCTCTTCAGGCTCCATCCCTCAAACCTCCAGGAATTTCCCATCTGGAGTTGGCAACCCTATCAGGACTGGCCCCAATGTGTTTTCTCCCAAAGGCCAAAGTAGGTGACAGGACCAAGCTTAGTTGCCTACCAACAGGCACTGAGGGGAATGTAGGGTTGCCAGCTCTAAGGAGGGAAATACCTGGAGGTTTGGGGGGTGGATTCTGTAGAGGGCCGGCCGACGGAGGCCTCGGCCTTCTGTCGCCCGCCTTGCCCCCCCAATCTCGGCCCGGGCGACCGCGGCTCC